CCTCCCTGTCAGCTCGTACACACTGCTTTGGATGGTTGTGCACAGCCCAGCCATCCAAAGCAGTGTGATTACAGTGAAGCACACGGACACAGACAGAAGTAAAACAGCACACAGTTAACCCTTTGATCGCCCCTCGTTAACCCCTTCCTGCCCAGTGCCCTTAGTAGTACAGTGTCAGTGCTTTTTTTTTAGCACTGATCATTGTATTGATGTCACTGGGGATCTCAGTGATGCCAAGTCAATTCACCCCCAGTGTCAGCATGCCTGCCGCAGTCCCGCAGTCCTGCTATAAGTCGCTGATTGCCATCACTACTAGTAAAAAAAAAAAAATTCCAGTATCTATACCGCCATTTGTAACTGCTATACCTTTCACGTAAACCAATTAATTTACACATATTGGGATTTTTTTTTTAGTAAAGACATGTAGCAGAATACATTTTGGACTAAATTTATGACAAAATTAGATTTTTTAAATTTTTTACTGGACATGTTTAATAGCAAAAAGACAAAAATATTGGGTTTTTTTTTTTGTTTTTTTTTAAATTGTCGTTCTTTTTTATAGCGCAAAAAATAAAAAAACACACAGGCGATCAAATACCACCAAAAGAAAGCTCAATTAGTGAGAATCATTTGGGTACAGCATTACATGACTGCGCAATTATCAGTTAAAGTAACGCAGTGCTGTAACTCAAAAAATGGCCTGGTCAGGAAGGGGGGGTAAATCCTCAGGAGGGCAAGTGGGAAGCCCATTCATTTTGAATGAGCTGTGAATGCACAGGAAAAAACACAAAAGTGGACATGCAGCAATTTTTTCTGGTGCAGTGCACCAACAATACACGGTAATGCATTATGGTGTGTTGCAGTGTGTTGCAATGCATGTGCGCTGAGGTATCATTCTAAATCAGTGCACAGGTTATTTTGCTCATGTTTTTCATTATCCCAACACTGATTGCTACTGACAATTAAATGCACACAGGTCATTGTTTTTAACTGAGGTTCACAGTCTGTCATATGCCAAATTAGAGATCATTGACCTTACAGTACTTATACAAGTCATTATAATGGCCATAAAAAATTAAAGCCTGGATAAAATAAATAAATAAATACTTGTTGAAGTACAAAATTGTCAGTCCACCAGTTATGCCAATGACTTCTAATTTAAGCTCCATGAAGTGCACCATAGTTCAAGTATATTGAAAATGTCAGCATGCACAAGTGTCCTAGTTGTGGTCTTTTATAATATGAGATGACAAAACTACACACTCTTATTTTTATGCTTTATTTAGAGCCACATTTTTGGATAGATTCCCCTCTGACCTTCTGACTACATTTTTCCACAGTGATTACACCTTGAAGCAAGTGATGACTGGGTTGAAGAACATGGGGGTATTCCTCCCCCCCCCCCCGCCATTGTTAATATGTTGGATTAATGACCCATGGTGGAGAACCTTCAATATTAAGATGTTAATCAGAGTGGGACCTGCAGTCTGTGATATGTGCTGGCTGTTATATTGCTACCTGCTCCCCGTTCTGACCTTCGGACATAACATCTACCAGAGGAAAGTCTTCATTCACAATTCTGAGATGTTATATGACTGCAAGGGCTGCAAGTCAAGCTGGTGCTAGAAGATGTGAAAAAAGGCAAATTGTCATTACCCTTGTCCTTTAGGAACAAGCACCTTTCAGCATGCCCACCTGTCAGTGAGACATCATGACGTGTTCCATGGTACAGCTTCTGTAGTTCACAACAAATCTGTCCCTACCATGGAAGGACTGCTTAGTTTTGCTTTCCTCACCCCTCTTGCAAGGTCAAAGGTTTCCAGTCCTCATCTGTCTTGAGGACCTCTAGCAATGGGAAAGCAGTGATAGGCTAAGCTCTGCATTGCACATGAGCTTCCACTGTTATCCTCATACATTCCTATGTAAATGGAAAGATATATCATTTTTATGGCATGAAACTTCTAGTGGTCAAAAACTTCTAACTCAGCTCTTTATCCACCTATGTGTATGAATGTAGTATATTTATGAACCGAAGACTTTAACAACTGCACTTTATCAAATGGGTAGAGTTTAAAAATCTAATAACACAAACGTGAATGCAACAAGTATACCAGGAATATGCCATTGTAATCACATTCTGCCACCATATCCCAATCAACTCACAAGATTAACACCAAACCACTGACACCACTTTACCTCCTCAGACCCCTGCTGCCAACCTAATCTAGGGTAAACCAGAGACCAATACACGGACTGTAAATACAGATCAGGAAAGGTCCTATCTGCATTATTGTTTCAGGTCAGTGAAGAGTATTGAAGCCATGGTGTTAGTATGGCAAACAGGGAACTAGCATTTTCAGAAGGACAGATCAGGGATGCAAGTCATGATTTTGTTCTCATGACAGGTTTTCTTGAAGAAACCAGACAGGTTTAAATAAAGCTTCATCTGTCAGATCAACAAAAGGCTTCTTGTGCACAATAAATTGTGTTCTGAAGAAACAGGTGATTATGAGTCAAAAGTGTATTCATCGAAAATCACTACTAAGAATGACCATCTCTATAAACCATCTTTCCTATACAAAGATATAAATACAACATTTCAATACTAGTGTATCCTCAAGCTAGCTGTGGGAAGGGTACAGCCTCCCCCTTAGATAAAAAAAAAAAAGAAAACTAAAAAAATTGCTCCCAGCAGTCAGCATAGCCCTGCTACTAAACAACACCAATTTATGTTGTAATCGCATCCTGTGAGGGTATCAATCCCCCACAGAGATATAATCTCCCTAATAAAATGTAACTACAATTTACACGTAACACAAAATTAGTTTCTATACAGGACCTTATTGGAGCTGATATACTAAAGTCAAACAGACTGTTCACTTTTCAAGGAAATGTTCTCGTTGTTTAGAATATAAATAAATATAATACTAGATCAAGGAATAAAAAAATATATTATAGTAGTTGATCAAGGCATATAAATAAACATAATACTATAAGAAGGAATAAAAATAAATATAATAGTAGATCAAGGCATAAAAATAAACATAATACTATAAGAAGGAATAAAAATAAATATAATAGTAGATCAAGGCATACAAATAAACATAATACTAGATCGAGGAATAAAAATAAATATAATAAATCGATCAAGGCATAAAAATAAATATAATAGTAGATCAAGGCATAAAAATAAACATAATACTAGATTGAGGAATAAAAATAAATATAATAGTAGATCAAGGTATACAAATAAACATAATACTAGATTGAGGAATAAAAATAAATATTTATTTATTTATTTATCGAGTTTATATAGCGCCAAAGGGTTTGCTCAGCGCTGTACAATAGAGGGGGGACAATACATGAAACAGAACAGTAACATCAAACAGTACACAAGGGGTAAGAGGGCCCTACTCTTTCGAGCTTACAATCTATTAGATTATAATAGTAGATCAAGGTATACAAATAAACATAATACTAAAACAAGGAATAAATATAATAGTAGATCAAGGTATATAAATAAACATAATACTAGATTGAGGAATAAAAATAAATATAAAATAAATAAAAATAAACCGAGCTCCTGGTCTTCCCCCCCACCCCGTGCCCACTCCCCATCTTCTCCATCACTACTAACAACGCCACCATCTCTCCCACCCCACACGCCAAAGTCCTGGGTGTCACCCTGCTCTCCCACCTCTCCTTCCTACCCCACATCCAACTGCTATCTAGATCTTGCAGGCTCCACCTCTGCAACATCTCCAAGATACGCACATTCTTTACCCCAGACACCACCAAACAACTCGTACACTCCCTCATCATCTCACGCCTGGACTATTGCAATTCCCTTCTCACTGGCCTACCCAAATGAACGCTATCCCCACTCCAGTTGATCCTAAACTCAGCAGCTAGACTCATCCACCTCACCAACCGCTCCACATCTGCCTCTCCCCTCTGCCAATCCCTTCATTGGCTCCTGATTGCCCAACGCATCAAATTCAAACTGCTAACTCTGACCTACAAAGCCATTCACAACGTCGCCCCAAACTACATAACTGACCTGATACGCAAATACTACCCTACCCGTGCCCTCCGCTCCTCACAGGACCTCCTACTCTCTAGCTCCCTGGTCTCCTCCTCCCACACCCAATTGCAGGACTTCTCCAGGACTTCCCCCATCCTTTGGAACTCCCTACCCCAATCCATCAGACTGTCGCCTCCCCTCCTCACCTTCAGGCGCACCCTGAAAACCCTCCTCTTCAGGGATGCCTACCCCAACCTCACCTAACACCCGACCTCACCTAACAACTAACCTCCTCCACTCCTCCCGCCACTACATCCCCCACAGCCATCTCCTCCTGTGCCACCTTCCCCTCCCTCCTAGATTGTAAGCTCCAAAGAGCAGGGCCCTCATGTATTGTATTGTTACTGTCTTGTCTCATGTTCTGTCCCCCTTGCTATTGTACAGCGCTGAGCAAACCCTTTGGTGCTATATAAATACTGTATAATAATAATAATATAGTACTATAAGAAGGAATAAAAACAAATATAATAGTAGATCAAGGCATACATAAAAACATAATACTAGATCAAGGAATAAAAATAAATATAATAGTAGATCAAGGCATAAAAATAAACATAATACTAGATCAAGGAATAAAAATAAATGTAATACTAGATCAAGGAATAAAAAGAGAGATTATACTAGATCAAAGAATAAAGAGGAATATAATACCAGATCAGGGAATAAAAAGAAATATAATACTAGGTCAAGGGGTGAAAAGAAATATACTACTAAATAGGGCAATAAAAAGAAATATATTAGATGAAGGGATGACTGTAGTGGTGTCCAGAATAGCGGACACATGTGCAGTTAGCAATTTGTGCTCTAGATGTCGCTGTAGCTCTTCAGCTATAGACCAGGAAGTGAATAGAATGTGTCAGCTGTCGGTGGTTGTCTCGCTGTGATGACGTAGGTGTTGTGAGCCGCACATTGGAAGCAGTGATGGAGGAGGCTGGAGAGTTGAAGTGGTAAGTGTGGGCAGTCGTGGTTACTATGGCGGGAGCCGGGCTCGTAGTGTAATGAATACAGAGCAGACAGGAGGAGGAGAAGGCTGCCCGTGGTCAGAGGTGTGTTCTGGCTGCACCGAGCACACTGCTGGTGGTTATGGCTCTGCATTACTTACTACACTCACCTGACATGTAGAGGCACCCTCGGGCCCATTCATACTACCCTGGCCAGGCTGCCTTGCTATTTCCAATCAGTGGACCCCTCACCACAGCTCAGATCAGCCTTTCCCAACCTGTCCACCCCAGAGGAACCTGGAATACATTTTCAGGTCTGCTAACACTGACTTTTTGTACCCCTTACATTGGTGGTCAGTGAGGAGAATCCCCCCCCCCCCCCCATTGGTACTGTGCAGCTGGCTCTGCAAAGAGACATTGACCCCAGAAAATATACTGCCACCATCAGGTGGGAGGTCAGTCACAATATAACCACATGACCTCCGGATGGCTTTGCCTCCTTCATGACCAGGACATTTTTTTTTTTTTTGCAGTTCAGCACTGCACTACTTTAACTGCAACAATGCAACACTGTAGGCAAATTCAAGTTATAGCATATTTTGATACGACTAGAGCTTTCTTTTAGTGGTATTTAATGAGCGCTGGTTTTTAATTTTTTGCTATCTAACAAAAAATACCAAAAATTTGGAAAAAAATGTTTTTCTTAGTTTCTCTTATAAAATGTTGGAAATAAATATTAGGTGGGGGGGGGGAGATATGTGCAGACACACACCCCATAGCATTACAGGAGTGAATGAGATCCTATTCAAATGCTGAGCTCAGCTACTGCTGCTCTAAGGAGAGAGTGGGCCCTGTGCACGCATGGTCTGTAGGCAAGGTGACTAAGAACAGTGATATGATCATGTGATGCTGAGTGCTGGGCCAGTGTCCCAACTGTGAAGTGTGGTGGGGGGGCTGCTATTAGGATTTTTTTTGGACATGCTTTAGGGGCTACCAATATAGCATACAGGTATGCAATTTATAGAGGAACTTTTTTTTTTCTTTTAATGTTAGTTTTACAAATACTGTAGCTGCTGACTTTTAAAAATCAGGTACTTACCAGTGCCTGGGGTCCAGCACTGTCTTAGCACAGCTGGCTCTTCTTACTGCTGTAGGTCTGCGGCGCTGCCATCTTGGTTATGGTAGTCAGCTGTGGCTTCCTGAGAAACCGCATCGGACTCTCCACTGCAAATGGGCAAGCTAGTGCGGTGCTTTGTGAAAGGTCCTGCACACATGTGATGTATCTCAGGAGGGGGTGGGGCAAGCAGTGCAATCCTTTTCTAGGTGAGGATTGCAGAAGTGAGAGCAGGTACCAGTTAAAATCAGTACTTACCTCCCCCCCCCCCCCCCCCCAGAAAAAAAAAAAAAATTTGCAACTCCGTTACAGGCTGGGGGGTGGGAGCAAACCAGCGAGACTTCACTTTTCGGGGAAAGTACCATGATGTATGTAATACGGAATATATTGCCACTTACCAGTCCTTTGATGTGGTATCTGCATTAGTTTTCTCTATTTTTATTTCCTTTATTTTCACTAGGTTATCCGGCCAGTAACACACTTCCTGTCTTGGGGCATTCCTATTTTGGATAGAAGGGTAACAGAGACACCATTAGACAGAAGCATTGTCAGTCTGGGGAGAAAGTAGTGTTAGATGTATTAGCAGATTTTAATAGCAGATTTAAATAGACTTGACCAACAAATAAAGGATAAACTCCAGGTAACACTTTTTGAGCAGTTACAGCAACAGTTTTATTTTGTTTAATAAACCCACAACATAAAATCAGTCTGTATATGCAGTAAAGCATGCTTATTATACTCAGTGTGGAACCTGTGGGGTTAATCCTCTGCATTGTTTAAAAATGCTGTTCGATCCTGACTTCTCTGATCCTCCCCTTCTTCCAGTGTCCCTCTCTTGTCTCCTGATAAGACATATCGTGGAGACACTCTGCATACGCTCAGTTTGGTGTATATTGCTAGAGAGGTTTTTTTTGTTTCCTTGGGAGAATGCATGTGATCAGCACAGGGCCAATCAGCACTGGTCAGACAGAGGTTAGGGGTTTTACATCCTCCTAGAGCAGAAAGAAAACTCCTACAAGCTTTAAACCAGTGCTCTTCTGGACACTGATAGAAGTCACAAGACTGCTCTAACTGCTGATGAGAAAAGGTATTTAGCAGTTTATATTGACTAATATAATTGCATTTCCATGTTCTTTGTACTGTGGGAGACCAGATATAGTGAATAGAGGGTCCTGGGTTTACACTTTAAATAAAAGCTGGCCACTGTAAGCACCCCTGCAAGTGTTAAATTATTTTCATCATCCCTCTAATTTTGCTGGACAGCTTGGTCTGTTAAAGGAAGGCAGACCAAATAATAGACTTACTGGCTAGATGAAAGTAAAGGAGAAAGAGTAGAAAAAAACGAATGCAGCCACCACATCTGAGGACCGGTATGCTACCATACAGTGCAGGAGCGGGTGGCCATTTATAAATGGCCTCTGTATTCACTGCCTGTGCACGCTCCCTGGGAGCGTACGGCACCACTATCCAGTGCCCGCTGTGGCCGACCGCTTTACGGTACCTCTATGTGAAGTCCTGATCATGTGCTCACTGATTGGCCAATCAGTGATCACATGAATAGTAGTAAGCAAGATGTCACTTCCTGACATCATTGCTTACTACTTGTGAAATCTGTGAATGATCATAGAGATCACATGGTACAAGGCTATTCGCAACAGCCTTGTACCATGTAACAAGCTGTGGCCAATCACAGCTCTCACAGTATTTCCCAATGGCTGCAAGAATGCAGCCAGAGAGGAGAAATGATTGCTTTTATGGCCTTTATGGGTGTAAAAGCAATCCATATAAAAAAAAAAAATCTTCATCACCCCCCACAAGTAGTACAGTGTCATTATGGTGACATAGGTTATTTATTTGCAAAACTTTCTAAGAAAAACACTTTTTTTTTTTTCAAAATGTTTGGACCTTTTCATTTATATAACAAAAATATAAAAATCCAAGTGGTGAATAAATACCACCAAAATAAAGTTTTATCTGTCTCAAAAAAATACAAAAAAATTAATATGGGTACAGTGTTGCATGACCGCGCAATTGTCATTCTAAGTGTGATAGCACTGAAAGCTGAAAATTGGCCTGGACAGGAAGGGGGTGAAAGTGTCCGGACTTGAAATGGTTAAACAAGAGATTTCTTTACAGTATTGTTCATTTACGGGCACCCTTGGCTGAGCTGTTTTACACAAAAAGACAGTTAGCTTGCAGTTGCTACCACAATGCCAGAACTCTGAGCAGTTCTAATCAAGCTACATTCTGACACATCTGGTAGTATGGCAGTTTTCTTCTTTTTTTTTTATAATTTAAATATTTATTGATTTTCATTTTAAATACTTTTCAACATCATGATATACAAACATATATATATATTTATACACTATAGTATCCATCATTTCTACTTTATTTACTTTATTCCAAAATCCCCCCCTCCCCCCTCCTCCACCCTCACCCAAATCCCATCTTCCTGCTTTTCCTTTTCTCTACATCATTTTATCTCAGCAAGTGCAGTTTTCCTATTACTTTCTTTAATCTTTCCTATATTTCATATATAACTTAGCTTTTTCCCAATTCTCCCATTTCCTATTATAAATCTCCATCCTATCTTCCTGGACATGGCACAACCTTTCCATCTTTTTAATCTGCTCAACCCCTTCTATCCAGTCTTCTTCCTTCGGTACCTCTGTTTGCTTCCAAAACCTGGGTATCAGAGCTTTTGCAGCATTAATGTAGCACCATATCCCTGATTTTTTATATTTATTGGCTGATATGTCCATGTTATGCAAAATACACACTTCTGGGTCTACTCCAATGTCTATTTCTGTTATTTTTCTTATCAAATGGATTATTGTCTTCCAGAATACCTGAATTTTTGGGCAACCCCCACCATATGTGATATGTTGTACCTATTTCACCACATCCCCTCCAACACCACGGTGAACTCTCTTTACACATCTTATTTTCAACATTTGGTGTAATGTGCCATCTTGTCAAACACTTATAGTTCATCTCTACTTCTCTCATAGAAATGTTTTCGTGGGTTAATCTATATATTCTCCTCTGCTTCTCCTCATCTATCACGCTTCCCATATCAATTTCCCATTTTGTTATATATGTTGGCTTTGTGTTTATATCTAGTTCGGTGAGTATTTTATATACCTTAGCAATCCCGTGTTTCCCATCACCTTGTGTACCCAAAACCTTTTCAAACAAGTTCCAGTTGTCTCTTGTCCTTAAAGGTTTTGGTAAACTTCCAACAAAACTCCTCAATTGAAAATACCGCCACTTGTCTAATTTAGTGAAAATCTCACCCTCTTTTTTTTTCAATTCCCCAAATGATCCTATTTTATCCCCCACCAAAATATCTCTTAATTGAACCTCTTCCTTTTTAAACCACCTTCCTCCTATTTCTTCTCTACCAGGGGGGAAAAACTCAGTGTTTTTTAGTGAAATCAGTGTTGAATTAAAAGACCATTTCATACTTTTGTGTAAATTATCCCAAATTTTTTAAAACATTCAAAGTGTATGTATTTACATTATCATTTAGGCCCCTATACTGTGTTGGAACCCATATCACCTTACCCAAATCTGTTCCACTAAGTTCATTCTCTATTCTCACCCAACTTTTTTTATGGTTCTGTATCCAGTCTATAGTTCTTGCCAATACTACAGCTTTGTAGTATCTTTTAAAATCTGGAAGCCCTAAACCACCTCTTTCTTTCCTCCTACTCAACAACTCATATGACAATCTTGGTTTTTTATTCCTCCATATGTATTTTGTTATCAGTTTCTTAATTAACTTAAAAAAGATCTCTGGGAGTTTATTGGGTATCATTTGATATCTATATATGATTTTTGGTACTATTATCATTTTTACCAGGTTAATACGGCCTATCCATGTCGG